ATCAAATGAAATTTGCTGGAAAAAGCCGATGGGCGTAAACTTCAACACATAGCAGATTCAGTCTGTCGACGGGGAAAGGAAGAAGGGAGCGTAAACATTTTGCTAGATCGCAAACATTCAAACTTCTACAGTATCGCGTTTGAAAGCAGAAAATGCGCTTAGGAACTATTTGATTTAAATTTGAAAAATATTACTAAAGTGTCCAATTTTTACCCTGGTATATGCTTAGTAAATTTTGTTTACCAATATAGCCAAATAATCTCATTTTCCAACACATATATATTGGAGGCGAGTCATGTTCTTTTTGCTTTCGGCTCACGTAGTTGAAGTACTACCATTTGTCATCATATGTACAAATTTTGTCATATGATAGTCTTTGGTGTAGGTCACTTGATCTTACGATTTTGTTTTACATTTCCCGAAAGGAATTAATTGAGTTAATTTGGTCAAAAATTAATTAACAAAGCCTATTTGACTGCTGCTTTTTCCATCTTCCTATCTTGTCATACGCTATATTCCTCTGAATCATCTCGCATAGCAACCTTGGATCCACTTCCCATTAAATTATCCTTCCTTATCTGTCAGAACTCCGGCTGTGTCTTCTAGTCCGTGACTTAAGTTTCTCTATGTGAGAAAGTCATTGCAAAATTAAAGATTAAGAACCGAATGCTGCTGTGTTTTTTTGTAATTTAGTACAAGCATTGAAGAACAAAATTTAAAAAATTTATTAAGTTATTTCTGTGATACTCTCTTCCAAACTTATTCTGAATTTGAATATCAAAGGCATCAGGATTTCAACTCTTTTTTCTTCTGCTCCAATTCCTCTTCGGACGGCAACATACGCGCATTTTCGAGCAGTTTCACAATATCAACGGGGCGATTATCAGAGAAGTTCGTTAATGCGATGAGTTCTGCATCTGTTTTGTCTGCCTTCGTATCCAAATAAGTCCAGAGGGCGAGTGTTTGCAGGAAGTAGGGGTGATCAAGGCCAAAGCAGACTTCAAAGATGTTCATCGCATCGAACGCGT